GTGTAAATTTTTAAAATAATTGAAATCGTCAATAATTAAGAGATATCTGATTCTTTTTTTTATAATTTGCCTAAGCTTACCATCTTTATTCATAGAATTTGGTCATCCAGATCTTTTAGCATTTGATCCATTATTAGAATTAGCATACGGTACAATTACATCTGTAACAGTGATTTTTGGAAACTTTAAAATGCGTGTAAAAGTCTTGTGAGTCCTTCCTACTAACTTTAAATTGACAATTTGTCTGCGTTCAAAGTCATTTAATTCACGATTTTTTTCTCATGTTGAATGGTGCAATTTTTAAAAATGTGAAATTGAAATTGTTTTATATTTTTGTATATTAAACCTGATCTATGCAGTATTACACAAATATAAATATATGCACATTATCGTCAAAACCAAGGGGTTATTTAAAAAAAATTTTATTTAATTGATATGTCTGATCTTAAGAAATTTAAAAAAAGCTTGACCGGATACTTTTCTGAGGGTAGTGTATATATATTAATATTAATTGATATTAATATAAAAATTCTATAATTATTTTAAAAATTTCAAATTCTAAAAAAAATCCTAATACTAATTTCTAAATAAACTTTTTATATTTCAAATTATTTAATAAATTAAAATTTTATTTTTATTTTATATATATAAAAAAATATTTTTCAAAATATATATCAATATAAATAATAAATAAAATAAATATAAAAAATTAAAAAGAATTATAAAAAGAATTATTTTAACATGTATTATAAAATCTCTTTATTAAATATTATACAGTATAAAGGTTGAAATCAGTTTTATTTTTATAAACTAATTTTAATTACTTTTTTAATTTGAGATTCAGAATTAAACTGAATTTAAATAAATTGATTAAACTGAATATTCAGTTATAATAAATCTGTAAAACTGAATTATAATAAGACTTATAATATTTTTTGATTTTTATTTGATTTTTATTAAAAAATAAATATAAAGCTAATTGCATATTTAAAATGATAGATAAAAATTAAAAAATAAAAATTAATTCATCAAATTCAAAGATAATTAAATGCTTTTTGCTTAAATATTTATAATAACTTATATTTGAAAATAATGTTTCATTAAATACTGTAATTGCAGAAATAAATATATATATTTTTGCAATTTGAGATATAATATATAAGTTGTTTTTATTTAAATTCTACTACTTTAAAGAATGTAATATCAATTTACTGAAGATTTAAATATTCAAATAAAAATTTATTAGAAATGCATAAAACAAATAATATAATTATAATATAACAAAAGAATATTGTCAAAAAATGCATAAATTTAAAAATTTAAATTTTATTATATAAAAATTAATCTTTGATTGCATCATTTATTTTTGAATAAAATATCTAATATATAGTATAAATCATAATTCTGATCAAAAAGAATAAGATAAATTAACAGTTTATTAATAATTATATATTTAATTTGATAAACATCCAGTTTTATTAAATTCAAATTTTTGTAATTAACTGAATTTATTAAATCTAATTTTTAAATCTGAAAAAACTAGATCTGATTTTATGTTGTAACTGATTTAAATTAAATTTAAATTGAATTATATCAAACTAATTTCAACTTCTAATACAGTATTTAACTAATAAAATTCATTTTTAATATTATAAAATCTGTATTAAATTAGAAATTTATTATATTATAAAATTCGTTATATCAAAATTTATTATATTAAAAGTTTTTATACTGTATTTTTTCTTTATTATTTATTAATTATATAATAAATAAATCTTTTAAAATTTATTATATTAATAATAAAAAAATAAAAATAAAAATAAAAATTATTTATATTTTAATTTAAAAACTTTATTAATTATAATATTTAATAATTACTATATTCCTCCAAAAATAAGTAATGTAATTTTGTTTTAATATTATTTATTTTCAGATAATTAAATTTTTTTAATATATAGTTAAAAGTTTAATTTTTCATATTATAAAATTGAATTAATATGACTATAATATTACTAATTATTTAATATATATTATAGTTATCATAAATTGGTATACAAATTTATTTTTATACTAGTTTACTATAATAAATGCAATAAATAAAAAATGCTAATTGTTTCAATAATTTTTGTAAAGAATGATATACTTGGATAGTAAGTGAAGGTACTGAAGAAACTGTTATAAGAAATCTTTATTATACTAAATTAAGTGATGTATGCTTATTAGTAAAATTTACTTGAAAAGTAATCTATAATAAAACAATCATAAAATCTTTTAAAACTTGTAAAATTTTAATTAATTTAAATAAATCAGTTTCTGAATTAAAAATTAGTAATAATGATAAAATAGTATTGATAATAATGATGATGGTGATAAATTAATTAATAATTAGTTAAAATATTCTTTAACTAATTAATTAACTATTTAAAATTAACATATAAATTTGAATAGAATTATGAAATTTTTGTATTTATTAAAAATAAAAATTCAAGCTAAAATTTAAGTTAAAATTAATTATTTAAATCAGTTAAAAAATCTATAATTAATTTACAAATTAGTTAACTTAACTAATTTATTATTTATTAAAATTAACTAATTTTAATATTAATTTATAATTCTAATTTTAATAATATAAACTTTATATTTTCACTTATTATTAAATTTAATATATATTTTCAATTAATTATAAATAATAATTATATTTATTTAAAAAATTTTGCTTTTATTTTTAAATTTTAAATAAATATTATATAATAATTTTATATTATTAATTATATCATTTAAAAACTATAAAATTATTAATTGAATATTTATATATCTGATAAGTTTTAAAGATTTATATTTTATAAAAGTGATAATATTTTATAATTATTAATAATTATATAATAAGATTTTGTAATTATTATTATTTGATAATCTAATTAAATAAGATATTTTCTAATTATAAACATTTAATTAATTTTTCTTACATAATTTAAGTATTTTAGAAATATTAATTAAATTATTTTATTTATTTAATTTCTTAATTGTTTTTATTTTAATATTAAAGTTTTAATATAACAAATATTAAATTTATATTTATAAGAATATATTTTTTTTTATTAAACAAACTAATGCTTTTGTAATTTTTATTATATTTACTTTAAAACTCTTTTATTACTTTTACAATTATTTTAATTAATAATTTATTTTAAATTATTTATAATAATAGATTTTATTAATCAAAAATAAAAATTATAATTATAAAATAAAAATGATAATATTTTTTATGATAATTTGAATGTAAAAATTAATCATATTATAATTATTACATATTCTTTACAATAATTTTTTGATCTAAAAATTATTTTTTTTTTTTTAGTAAATAGTAATAATTGTTTAATTTGCATATATTATTAAAATTTTCCAAAAAAATTTATAGAAAAAGGTATTATAAAATACGTTTTATGATTATTTAATTAACATATATATTAAAATGTACAAAACTTTTTAATTTAATTATATTTATATATAAAGCATTTTTTTAAATCTAATTTGTATATTTAAATATTATTAGTAAAAAAAATCATGAGATATAATTAGTATTCTGATTTTATTAGTAACTTTTCTATTTTATTCTATAAATTAATAAATTATTTTTTTTTATTAATCAAATTTATATAATAATATAAAAAACTTAAATCTTTAACATTATATTTATATAATAACAAAACTTTTACTATTTTATTTTTTTATAATTATTTATTTTTAAAATATTTTATCTATAATTTTTATCATTATTATTAAATCAAAAGTTTACTTGATACAACCTTTTTTTACTAATAGTAATTAAAAAATTTAAAATAATTAAGAGGAAAGTATAGCTTAATGTAATGAATTTTAGAATTGAAAAAGTAATGTGCTGAAAATTAGCTTGATAATGAAAATTAGTTTGTTTTAATATCAATTTTTTAATTAATATGTGATTTAGAAGCTGAAAATAAAATATGTAACACAAAATTTGAAAAAATAAAAATTTACTATCAATAAATATGGGAATAAATATGGAGATTTATTAAAATTACACAGAGTTGAAAAATGTTTTTTATTTTTCGGATACTAATAAATGTGTTTGGCGCTGGGGAATTAGGTTTAGTAAATTTTCTCCATTTCTTAAAATACTTTCTTAAATCTTCCTTATCAACCTTGCCATTTCTCTATTCACAGCCTCTTTCAATTGTTTGTATTCTTTCGAGATCTTCACATGATTTAGAGATCTGTGGTACAGTTTTTCCGGACCAATATAAATACATGCTTAAAATTTTTGTGCGATTTTGATCGACAATATGGCTCCGCTTTTCGCAGATTCCTTACTGCGGGATATTTGTCAATTGTTGAATGATACTAGTAATTGTGATGTGATAATCGAGGTTGGCAATGAGAGAGAACCTTTTAAAGCTCATTTTGTAATTTTAGGAGCCCGTTCTCCTTATCTGAAAACCGCTTTAACTTCTAATTTGGTAAAAAAAGAAAATGATATGATTATTTTTACAATGCCAAATACTTCACCTAAAGTTTTCGGAAAAATCCTAAAGTAAGTCAATTAAAATCAAAAAACATTCATTGTAATGATAATTAATATTAATATAATTTCTTAAAGATATATTTATACGGGTGAATTTCTTTTAACTGATGAAGAAGATATCCAAGAAATGATGCTCGATTTGTTAATAATGGCCGATGAATTAGCGCTTCTTGAATTAGTCAAGTACATGGAAGAATATATTATTACTTATGAGCGGGATTGGATTCAAGAAAATCTTGCAAAAATATTCTCCACCGCATCCAAATACGAAAAATTTACTAGACTTTGGAAACAATTTTGTGGAGAATTATTAGCACAACGACCAAATGCACTTTTCACTTCCTCATATTTCCTTTCGTTAAAACGGTCAACCTTACTTACATTTATTAAACGCAATGACTTGAATATTGATGAAAGTGAAATTTGGAAAAATTTGATCAAGTGGGCCTGCGAACAAACGCCAAAACTCTGTCACGAGGTTGAGCGATTGACACAAGATGATTTTAAGGAATTAGAAAGCCGATTGAAAGATTTTATTCCATTTATTAGATTTTTCAGTATTACAAAGGATCAGTACATTTTAGGAGTTTTACCTTATGAAAATATCCTTCCTGATTCTTTGAGAAATGAATTAAAGAAATTCTTTGAATCGAATGAGGAAAAATCTCCACCTAAAAATTTTTGTTCGTCAAGAATTCCAATCACTCAAACGGTGCCAGATTCCGTTCTTATTAATAATAAACACATGGCACTTTTAGCAAGTTGGATCGATTCAAAAGACAATGATGGAATTAGCTTTAATATTTCAAAAAACGTTTATGAATTTAATCTATTGCTTCGCGGAAGCCGTGACGGAAAGACTATTCGAGAATTTCACAAATTCTGTATTAACAAAGGACCTACTTTAGTTATAATTAAAGTTAAAGGTACCAATCAAATCATTGGTGGCCATAATCCCGAACCATGGAATTTAGAATATGGATTGAAATACAATGAAGACGCTTTTATTTGTTCTTTGGGCGGTGGTGACAAAAACTTTGGTATCATTTTAAGTCGAGCTAAATATAACGAAATGTCAATTCGTAATGCACCGAATTTGGCAATTGGATTTATGGATCTTGGATGGTTTGAAGGAAGGTATAATCATTTATATTTCGAAAAAAGAATTATGGAGAGTACTTATAAGGAATTTATTCAAGACTATGAAGTTTTTCAAGTTTGTAAAAAGATTTTATAAGGGACCCATTTTTATTTTTGGAAAATATACATATTTAAGATTTTTGATTTTATATTTATTTTTACAAATGCGCGTATATGTAAGTGAGGTTTCAAAATCGCTATCTTGTCATGTATTTGAACATTATCGTCATCGATCTTATATTGCCTAGATATATATTCGAATAAATTATTCTCAATTCGTTGTTTATTCAATTAAATATCATCCATGTATGTAATTGTTTTATAACACTTCCATAATAGTATGTTTATTTCTTTAGTGATAATCGATAAACTTTGAACATATTATTTTTAAATATAATACATGAATTGTGGAGAGAATCGTAAATTGCACCGATAAAATAATTTTAAGCTAATAATTGTACATCTACACCTTGTTCTCTTAGATTTTTCATAACATTTCTGTCTAAATGGCTAATAATATTTACTTGCATATTAAGTTTAAAAATTTTTAACGATTTCCTTATTTTAACATAATCTAAGATAACTTGTAGACAATATCTCCCAATTCCACAATTAATTTTTAATGATGTTAAAGAAGTTTTGGTGTTATATAAAATAGTTTCTAATTTATCTGCTGATAAAATGTGATCATAAAATAAACCTAATTTACTTAAAGATTCAGGAAAGTGGTTTGCAAAATTTTTTAGGAAAAGCGTTGGCTCAATTAATGAAGAATCACAAAATAAGAAAGCAAATTTTTGGATTTTCATTTTTTTTAATAGTGGAAAAGAAGGAAATGTTATTTTACCTAGGATCTTAAACGTGACTAATTCCGAACAGTATAATGAAACGAAGTTGATGATTTCAGTAGTGATGGTACCAACCAATAATTTTTTCAACGATCTGCCAAAAGTTTTAATTAATAGCTCTGTCGTTTCTGCCGACCATTCACCCAAACCTAGGGTTTTCAAATTATAAGGTGCTTTAGTTAAAATATTACGTTGAACATCGCTCATTTCTTCGCAATTATTAAAGACCAATTCTTTTAAATTGTTCAAATTGTTCAAATTTTCAAAAGAAATGTTCAAAAGGTTCATGTTATATAAAGTCAAGGAAACCAAATTATCAACTTTTAATTTGGAAGAAGAAATAATCTTTGAGAAATATGATTCAGAATTTATTCTAAATTTAGTAAGTTTGCGTTGTTTTAGAATAAAATTTGTTATGAGAGGTGAGAAATTAAAAATTTCATAATAATGATTAAAGAACTTGATTTCATTATAATCATTTGACAACTTTTGCAAAAAATGAACAAATAATTGAATTTCATAATGTTTTTTCTTTCTTAACGTTAAAGTTTTAATATTGACCAAATTATTTAAAATGATCGTATCAATAAAATCTGTGTTAAATAATGATTGGTCCAATAATTCAGTCAAAATTTCTAATGATTTTAAGTTTTTTCCTTGCCTCAAGAATAAATGATAGAATGCTTTCAAGAGGGAGATATCCCTTTTCTTTTGGTAAATTTCATAATGTTTATTCATTAATTGTAAATCCCATTTTGTAAATTCTTCTAAATATGTAACGTATTCAAATAATGAGGGTTTTGTATAATTAACTTTAAAATTCAAATAATTCCTTTCCTCCTCATTAAAGCAGGTTAAATAAGTCCTTGCCAAGAAATTATAATGTAAGGAATCTTGTACATTATGAAAGGGATTTTTATAAAGAAATGGGATAACAGCATTGCAACAAAATTGGTTGACCAGTGAGAAATTGTAAAGAATCGAGCGTTCGTTTTGACACAATTTTATAATGTCATAGATACAATCATCAGATAAAGATTGAATTGCCATTTTTTTTATTTGATTTTTTTTTTTTTTTATTTTATATTCCCAGGTATCTATCGTATTTGGACAAAATGCATGATCATCAATAAAAAAGCCTGCAATTTGGTAACTCAAAATAAGTTCCTTTTTTGGTACACAAGAATTTTTCCTAAATACGCATCTAGAAAAGTGATGACATAATTTCTATTTTAAGTAATATTTCAATGCAATTATTAATCAAGAATTTTGCACAATTATTTAATGATGCGGATGACTATGATGTGTTAATTGAATCTGGAAAAGGAGATGACAAAGAAGTATTTAAAGCTCATTCTGTAATATTAAAAGCTCGTTCTCCTTATTTCAAATCTTGCTTTATCTTCTAATTGGATTAAGAAAGAAAATGGTATAATTATTTTTACAAAGCCGAATATTTCTCCCAGAATTTTCAGAAAAATTCTAAAAGTAAGTCAAAAGAAAGAAAAACAAAAAAAAAAAAAAAAAGGTTAAATATTTAACTGAGAATTTTTTTTTATAAAGATATATTTATTCGGGTGAATTTTCTTTGATCGAAAATGATGGTATCACCTTTGATTTGTTATTTGCAGTCGATGAATTAGCGCTTCTAGAATTAATCAATTATATGGAAGAATGCATTATTACTTATGAGCGTGATTGGATTCAAGGACATCTTGCAGAAATATTTTCTACTGCATCCAAATACGAAAATTTTACTAGACTTTGGAAGCACTTTTACAAAGAATTAGTACAAAAACCAAATGCACTTTTCACTTCCCCATATTTCCTTTCATTAAAACGGTCAACCTTACTTACATTCATTAAACGCAATGATTTGAATATTGATGAAAGTGAAATTTGGAAAAATTTGATAGATTGGGCATGTGAGCAGACGCCAATGCTCCGTCACGATGTAGGACGATTTACACAAAATGACTTTAAGGAATTAGAAAGTCGATTAAAAGATTTTATTCCATTTATTAGATTTTTCTGTATCACAAAAGATCAGTACACTTTAGGAGTTTTGCCTTACGAAAATATTCTTCCTGATACTTTGAGAAATGAATTAAGGAAATTCTTTGAATCGAATGGGGAAAAATCTCCACCTAAAGATTTTCTTCCATCAAGAATTCCAATTAATCACTCGGTGCCAGATTCGGTTCTAATTAATAATAGACAACTGGAACTTTTGGCAAGTTGGATCGATTCAAAAGATAATGATGAAACTAATTTTAATATCTCAAAAAACGCATATGAATTTAATTTGTTACTTCGAGGAAGTCGTGACGGAATGAACGTTAATGATTTTCACGGACTATGTATTAACAAGGGACCAACGCTAGTTGTAATTCAAGTAAAAGGTACGAATCAAATAATTGGTGGTTATCATCCCAAATCATGGAATTTGAACAATTCATGGGACCAATCAGAACATTCTTTTATCTTTTCTTTGAGCAAAGGAAACATTTTGGATAATATTATTTTAAGCCGAATCGGGTATGGTAAGCTTTCAGTTTTTAATGGGAGTAGTTCGTTATTAGGATTTCAAGACCTCAGTTAGTTTGAAGGAAGATATAAGAAAAGGTATTTTGAAAAAGAAATTTTAAGTTTAGTGGGTTTGTTACTGAAAATTATGAAGTTTTTCAAGTTGTTAAAAAGTAGGCAGATTTATTAGAATTGATAATTTGAAAATAAAAACTTAAAATAATTTGTCTACTCATTAAAGTCATTTAAAAATTTTTTTGAAATTAATTCAATGTAAATATCACTTAATGTAACATAAATGAAATAGAAAGTTTCTTAACTTTAAATTATGAAAGAGGAAAATCAAAGAAATGATTTGTTGACAGATCCATTTAAATTTTTTTAAAGATACTGACCTTGTACAATATTTCGAAATATTATTAAATTCATTAACTTGTAATTTTATCAGACTATCCTCTTAAATATAAAATTTCCAATGTAAAAAATGATTGAGTCAGAGAATTACATTGGTCTACATTCATTTCTTTGCAATATATGAACGTTAGTTCATTTGAATTTCTGAAAATTTTTGAACTTTTTTCCATTTTTGAATGAATTTATTGATAAGATTTGATTAATCTACAATTAAAAAATAACGAATGAACATGCTGAAGGCATTTTTTTCGAATTTCTGCCAAAAAATTCATGAGTAACTAAAGAAGTAATATTTGGCTAGGGTGATAGTATCAAGCAAAGATGGTACTAACAATTCATTAAAAAGTTCAAAAGATATCAAGTTTACAGCTTTTCTCAAGAATAAAATGATAAAAATCTTTAAAAGTGGAATGTATCGACCTATACTTTTTAAAAAATTGGATTTTATCGTTTCGTTATTTTTTTGTTTATAAATTTCATATAATATATATTATAACATTGGCGTTATTAACCAAAGATTGAATGTAAATCCGCTTAAATAATCAAATAAAGGAGGTTTTTTCGTTAATAATTTCACAATCATATTTTTTTTAAATAATTCACTTCTCCTTCACAAGGCATGATAAATAAGTCCTTGATAAGAAATAATTATCATTTGCATCATTTGATAAGGAATTTCATAAAGGAATGAAATTGCAACATTGCAACATAATTCGTTGACAAATAAGAAGTTGTATAACATTGAGCGTTCATTTTGTAAAATTTTTATAATATAAATACAGTCGTTATTTAAAGATTGTAAATTTTTTTTAAGAATTTGAGGGCATTTATTTGATATAGCCAAACTTTGATGCTCATTAATAGTTACACGAGCCTTTGAACGACACAGATGACTTTTGTGCGCTGACAAATAAATGTTGTATAGCTCAAGCAATAGTAGCTAGTTTCCGAATGCATACGCGCTTTTATTTTTTTTTTTTTTGTTTGATTTCTCATAAGAAAAGGTATTTCATTTCTATGAAATTTAAAAATTGTTCCACAATGTTAACATGTTAAAATTTTAACACAAAATTACAGTAGGAGTAAAAGTTATGGAAGGAGGTAATTCATCCTTTCCTTTTTTTTTTAATATTTTTAATGAATTCTTATATATGATGATTCAAATTTAAAATTTTATACGTGTAAAAAAGCCTTCAAAGGATGGTTTCCAAAAATATCTAAATGGATAACATACAACCCGATAACAGATGATCGTCAAAAAATAGACCCACGTTCTTCTTTGATCAGTGTCATTGTAACTTGGCAGGATCGCATCCAACAAAAATATTAGTTGTTAACGGAATGTGCGCGTCCATAAAAAAATATGAATTTCGAACATTCCAGATTTTCGTATTACTAATCCTACTTGATGATTAATCGGATTTCTTTTAGATCTTCGCCTGACAAAAAAAAAACACGAACATTTAAACTGGATATGATCCAATTTTACAAGCCGTATAATGAGGAAAAATGATATTAATAGAATTTAACGGTTTTCACACACAGCGTTTACTAGCTTTGCTTCGTATACATAAATAATATCCGTTATCTTGCTAATAATTGACACCTTAAACTTGCCAAATGGCTGTGTCAAAATTATCAGGTTATTTTGTTGCCCGAGTTCAAGACGCAAGGAATGGTTATGTGCGAGAAACAGCGGATCCGTTCCAAGTCTGCACGGATGATGTTAACATGATCTCATTTCCGATATCTTCTTCATTGTATGTACCGAAGAATATACTAGAAAAACATGTGGCTGTGGCCATATCCATCAAAAATTGTTGCCTCAGTTGTACAGCCGAACTTGAAAAATTCATTAAAAACGCTTTAAAAAAAAAAAAAGCAAATACCAGTGTGTTTAAGATCGTTCTGGACTTAACAACGGTTACGTTTCCTAGTTTATAAAAAAAAATTGAATTCAATTTAATTAAACCAAATTTTATTCATAAAATAACGTTATGATTATGCAATTTGTATCGATTGTGTAACGTTACAGTTAAATACAGAAACTTCTATTAAAAATATTTTAGCTAAATACTAATCATAATACCATCTTTTATTTGTCGTACTGAATTGATATTTTTCAATTTAAAAAAAATTTTTTTTTCTGTTTCTTTTTGAGTAAATAATTTTTTAATGAACAATTTTTACGTACGTAATTAAGAATACTTATATTCAACTTTATGTAATATACCAATTTTTATGTAAACATATATTATCTCTTATTTTTAAAAAATTTTTTTCGTAATATGAAGTCTTCTATATGGATATTTATAATATTTATATGTTTTGTAAATTTTACGAATTGTGAAACTATCGTTATTAAAGTTGGAGACGCGCACTGTAGCTACTATTTTTATTGATAGAAATACCGTAATAATATCATTACGATAGATAGTATAGTATAGTAATACCAGTATAATACCGAAATAGGACACGTCTTTTGGATAGCTTAAGTGGTACAACCCTATTTTCATATATTTAGTATATACTTTCCATCTTTCCATTTCAAAAATTTGAAAATTTTTTTTTTTGAAATAGTGGATTGTTTTGTCTTCTCTTAATTCAGAAAAGTCTTTTTTACATGTACCATATACAGAATATATTATGGAAGGAGGTAAGTGAAGAAATGTTTTTATATCACAAATCTTTTTCAGGAAACCTTGAAAAAAATTATTATGTTGAAGGTCTACTGATTCTGGAGGAGGAATTAGTTATGTACCTCCCTTTGTAACAAACATAGAAATAGGTTCTTGGGAATACTTACACTCACGCTCACGTTCATGCTCACGTTCATGCTCATACTCATGCTTATGCTCATATTCACGCTTTACATTTTTGTGTCATGATTATGTTTCTTACACTTTCATTTTTTTATTCTATATTTAGATCTCAAGAAGCAAAAGATAACTCCTTGTTGCCCTCTAAGCAATTCTGTGTTTGTAGGAGGTCAATTAACTAGCAAAAGTAGTCAAAAGATAAAAGATTTCATTTCAACCAAATTTTCAGTAGATGTATCTCACGTCTTCAAAACACTAAATAATCCGTATAAACATGCACATTTTAAAACTGAGAATGATGCTGGGTAGTGTTCCTAATGAGTCGAGTCAAGTTGAGTTTCAAGTCAAAATTATCCTACATACCTTTAATTTAAAGTACTTATTTATTATATATAACTAAAATTTACAATTATGCACAATCATATGAGTCAAATATGCGAGTTTATGCGAGTCATTTTCAAAATTCTAATGCTGGGATTTTTTATCAATGTGTTCAAAGGCAAGAATTTGCTTTTTCTGACGGAACAAATTTTATTTTCTACCTTCCAAAATGACTGGAAGTAATAAATATACAGTATACAAAATTGAAGTAATATAATTTGTTTTTATATCAATAATTCAACTGAAAAAACTTTTCCCCTCTTTCTTCAAAACCACAAAAAATAGGAGATAATATATGTTTACATAAAAATTGGTATATTACATAAAGTTGAATATAAGTATTCTTAATTACGTACGTAAAA